TAGAGAATATTAGATCCATATGATCTTATCGTTTGAAGTAGAGTTTCATTTATAAATGGCATTTTAACATTCATAATAATTTGAGAGGCAGTAGACATGAACAGGGTGTTCTTTAAGAGATCTACACACCATATGTCTACATATTTGAAAGTTATAAGTAAAGCTAGCAACATTGATAAAAAAATAAATATATTTTCACCTTTTACATGAGCAACTACCTACACAAGGTCCTGAAAGCTCAAGTCAAGTCTAGAAAACACTTACCTATGTGGAATGAGCTGCCCTAAAACACAATTCACCTCTCGTTTTTTTCAATCTCTTGTTCCACACACAATATGAAGGCTCTCACTCACACACGTGTGGACCTGCCAATAAGTATAAGTTCTAGAAACTACACGTGAGCCACATCCCCACTTCTGCTAAGGCAGCTACACACAACCACCTCTTTGCCTAGGCATGTTCACACCAGTGCTTGGTCCTCACTGGCATCATGGACTCAAAGAAGAGGTCTTCCAGATGCCATCTGGGCGTAAGGGTCATTCAACAGAGATCTTCAGAATCTTGGGTTTCCAAGACCCAATCGAGAAACTTAGGTTTTTGAGCAGGCAGATGTTTAGTTCTGTGGATTCCTAACCCTGAAGGCAAGTGCACACCCACACTAAAGCCACATCAAGATACTCTGAATGCAGGGCTGAGAACACAGACACTCTGACCAAGGCCTACGGATCGTTCTTGAGATGGGTGTCTGGTCCCCATTCTGGACAGGAGGCACTAAATCTCATAGAGAGATCCTGGAGCCTGAGACCCCCGTCCCTGTCTGCTTGACTGAGAAGGTTTTGCTCTTACCCCGTGACATTTACTACCAGGATATGGGTCAGCCAATCACAGCCTCATAAACTTCCTCTCAGACATTCAGCTAGTCTCTATCAAGATCCTGGCAGTTTCTTCCCAGCGCTACAAAAAGGAACCTGTGAACCTGCCCAAATCACCCAGACAGCACTGCCTACAACTGATGTCTCTTTGCCATGGCAACAAGGAAATAATGGATGCTGAAGGTCTGGCCTGGACCTCTACCCACTACTTTCACCATCCTTCAATGACTATAGTAGTTTTGGATATTGATTGCATAAAGGAACGAAAAAGAAAGAGTTGTCCCTTATAAAATTCTTTAATTTACCTTTTAAAATTTATAAGGCAATCATCAAAACTAAGAATGTTTGAACTAGGCCATACATTTTAAATAATATTCCTTATTAACCTATATCTGTGGACAGAAAACACAAGGACACAAAGGAACAATAGGAAACCGTAATGTCTTGTCCCATTAATGGAATGACGATGCTCCTACTATGTTCCAGACACAGAGATACAGTTCCTGGCATCACTTTGAACTGGGAATGTGATCCTTAATGGTGATTGTTAACTTCACTTAAGGAAGAGCCTCCTAGCTGATTAGTAATGTCATGGGTATGTCCTAGATGACTGACACGGAGGCCCTCGCCAAGAAGGGAAGACCTACCAGAAGTGAGTGGTATCAACCGATAGACCGGTGGCCTAGAAGGAGTAAAAGGGAAGGGAAGGAGGAGTCCTGCCCCCTTGTTTCTCTGGTCTTTGCCATTGCCTCTGGACATTGATCTCTATTTCCTTCAGGCTCTCAATGCAGACTCTGGCTTTCCAATATAGACTCACACCAGCGACTCTGCAGTGAGCTTCCGGGCCCTTGGCCACAACTGCTACAGAACCCTCCGGCTCTTCCTGTGCACACAGCCATTGTGGATGCTTCCACCTAATGGCCTCTAGAGCTCTTCTCATTTTGATGCTGTAAGGCTGCCCCAAGTCCCTTGCATCATTATTCATATTATATCTGATATTGTTTCTCTGTCTCTAGTGAACCCTAATTGATACAGGGAGACAAAAGTGAGCAAATGAACACAATATCTTTGAGAAGTAGACAATAGGAATGACAGGAAAGCAGAGTATAGATAGGAGGATGGAGGGTGAGCTTGCTAGAGGTTTCTCCATACATGCTTTCAAGTAAACCAATCAAATCCACCTTTCAAACATGACTGGTTTTACTGTTATGCCATTTAATGCTTTATAAAGTTCATCATGCATCTTTGAAAACTTTTATTACATGATGGACCAGGGCATTAAAAGTGGCACCAAACTAGAACACATGGTGAAGACGAAAGTACAGGAAAAGAACGAGAAGAAGATGGAAAAAGAGTACTGATTCATTTATGTAGCCTGTTAAATGATAATACATTTCAGCTTGCAAAACAACAGGCTTAACTTGTTAAATGACTGAGAGAAGTCACGTTTTCAGAACATCCTCAATAAAAAAGAAATGTATGATTTCATAGGTGGTTGATTTTTAAATCAAACCTTCTCGACTGTCCTCCAGTATGCCTATACATAACTCCCCCAGGAAATCCAGTCACACTGTTACAAAATGAGGCATTATATAAATAAGCAAAACAACAGGTGTTACACATCTGTTCTTTCACCAATCTTGAGACTCTCTCCTTAGGAAGAGTCTATAACCATTAGCAGGGGGAAAAAAAAAACAGCTGAAAAGCCATCCAAGCCATCCATACAGAGCTCACTTCAGCCAATAATTAGACAAATATCCCCAAGAGTTTAGATCTGTATCTAAAAATGTTTTACAGCTTTATCGTTGATTGGACAAGTGAAATTGAAATAAGGTTGCAGAAGTCTTTGGCAACCCTGGCAAGGTTTCCATTGGCATCGTATTCTACAGAAACCCCGAACCTTCATGTTTTGGTTATAGGCATCATCATTAACTTAAGAACACAAGAAATTCCAAAAGTCACCTTCAATCACGAGCTTTCCCCACATCTGATCTCTACTAACGTCTATCAAATCTACTTGTAAATTGTCTTTTGAGTTCATACAAACTTCCTCATCCTCACCAAAACAATCTTCATTCACTTCCTCGCCATCTCTAATCCCATATCCCAAGAATTCCATTTCTAAAACAACTATTGAATCACTCTAGTGTTCCCCATAGTGTCTTTTGGTGACTGACCACTGTCTTCTCTTAACAGTTCTCCTGACAGTCAGGGCAACTGCTCTGTCCATCTGGCTTTCTCGCTACCTCTTTGCAAATAAACCATACTTCTTCAAACTACTCACAATACCCTAAACACATGGGCTTTAGGGGAGGGGGGCGCTGGACTGTCCTTCCGGGCCTCTGTCCATCTGGGGACTCTGGCTCTGCCTTTAACACGCAGTTCAAATGCCTCGTCCTTTGAGAAATCTGAGGGAAACACCCCGGCATGTTTCTTCCCCACTGCCTGTGGGCCAGCAGAGAATGGGCCCTCCTGCCTCTGCACACCCAAACTGTCCTGTGATCACTTGCTGTGTTTTTCTCTCCATCCTCTGTGGAACATCTTAAAGAATAAGACTGTTGCCAGGGATTTAGCTCGGTGGTTTCACCGCCTGCCTCACAAGTGCAAGGGCCTGAGTTCAATCTCTGGTACCAAAAAATAAAAGTAGTCTAAGGCAATATATTTTGACAAAAATTAAACAAAGATTTAGATTTTAACTAGTATATCAAACTTAGATTTAGCATGGATTGAAGGAGATACAGAGAGAGAGAGAGAGAGTAGTATAGGAAAATCATTAAAAGAAAACTCAGTGCACATACTTTCAGTTATTTAGTGAGAAAAAAAGATCAGAGTATTATTGAAGTTGCTCTTTGCTAGAACAGAAAAAGCACTCCCTGGTCCGTGACATTTGTGCCACTGACTCTGTCACATTTCTTTCAGGCTCTACATGACGTCACCATTCACTTCAAAACTCACGCTTACTCCCAGGACTCTCAAACCTCGAGTCCCCTCGGCTCTGCCTCACTTCTCTCCACTCGAGACAGCCCTGCAGTGTAACTGACTCTGAGCAACAATGGTGGCCACCAGCTTTCCTGACACTGCGCTCAGTTTCAGCCCTTGTGGCTGGCCTACTTTTTTTCTGATTACCGTTCTCTAGCTCTGTTATTCATAGGTATATCTTTAGGAATGCTGTTTAAACCAATATATATGTATATTTTTGCTAATCCATCCACTATTCCTTATTTTCCTTTGGAAGTGTTCTGCTAGCTTTGTGATATAATCTTACCACTTTACAATTACATTTTATTTCTCTCCAAGAGAGGCTGAGAAAATTTTCGATTCACAACCTAGGCACAGATTAACAGGCCCACTAGTGCAATCTCGCATTCAAAATATTCCCATCAAGTCCAGTATGCAACGTCTTCCGCCAGTGACCTTATCACCGCCTCCACAGTAAGGAACAACGACCTTGCTCAGTACTGACCTTGGTACTGCCTACCCTGATGGAGCCTCTTAGCTCCTACTTTCCAGTGTTGCCATGGTCGATGCCGTCCCACTCCATCTTAGGTTTGCTTCTGCCCAGCTTCTGGTCTTGCAGGCGCCTGAACACTCACTCGCACCCCTAAGCCTTCACACCCGCCCTGCCTCCTGACGGAAATGCCCTCTTGCTTGCTGTCCTTTGCTAAGCCTGGTCACTCTCCTGGTTAAGATCTACGCCTCATCAGGGCGGGCCTCAAGTAAGCCAATACTGGTCCTATTCATTCTGGTTCTGTTTTCTTCTAGCATTTTTTCAGGACTAAATATTAGTAAGTTCCCAGCCCCGCTGATTTGTATTCCCGTTTATTCTCCTTCACTAGAATTTGGAATTTGAAGCCAATTAACCACAGCACCACGGTTTCTATGCCCATATCTCCTGGCTCTCCATCCATCCGCTCTGAACCCCCTGAGTATTTCCGCTTGTCTCCAAACATGAATCAAAAATGCATCAGGAGAGGTCAGTGCGAGGACCAGAAAGTAGGCGGAAATTTTCCGTTTCTGGAGAACACCGTGGGCTCCTCTGTTTGGGATGGTTTCCTCGGACAACGATGATGACGCAGCTATAGAGATAATTCCGTTTGTTTTCCTTCAACTTGCTGAGATTTCTCTTACCTGTCCAGGACAGGCGCGCTCTCCGGCCACATCCGTTGCCCGTCTTTCCCAGGAAACCACATGAGGGTTTCCTACCACTCGAGACATCGGTCTCCTGCAAGCACCTGCCAGGGACTAGTCTCCTCTCTCTGTCCTCCGGGACAGAATTACTGCTCTGTCCCTGGCGGCCACCTCCTCTTCTCCACCCTAAGAGCTGTTCCTATCCAAACAGCTCTGCCGGCCTCCAGGGCAGGGGTTCCCGCCTCACATCCCCTGAACACGGGAGCATCTCGGCACCGCCTCGGCGACTACGCAGCAAAGCCCTTTCCACTTACAGAGGGTCCCGGAGCCTGTGCCTCTGGGACGTGTTTTCTTTCTTCTCTTAAGGAATTGAAATAGCCCTGGTTTATACCGGAGGGAGAAGGTTCTCCACCTCTTCCCTTGGAGGAGGGGGTGCTATTGGAGTGCGAAGCCAGGCGGATGGAAATTCCTCTAAGGCGCCCTTCCAGCCTCACATGGGTCCCTCCCCGGGTGCCCCGCAAAGAGGAGATGGGACCAAGCTGTGTCTGGTGGGTGGGTGGAGGCGGCGGCGCGTTTAGTTCCCGAGTCCTCCCCGGGTTCCGTCCCCAGCTGCGGCCCTGGTCACCCGCTGCCGCAATCCCGGCGGTGCCCTTGTGGCTCTGCGCCTTTGCCG